TAGAGTTGGGGTCTTGATCTTGCACAGGCTGGTCTCAAACTTCTCAGCTCAAGCAATCTGCCCGCCTGGGCCTCCCAGAGTACCAGGATTACAGGCATAATTACAGCAATCTGAGCCACTGGGCCTGGCCAAGAATGGTGGTTGGATGAATAGCTACCTGGAGAAAATATCCAGGGCCTGGCAGCCAGGATTCATTCTAGGAGCCTGCGGCAAAGCAGTGCCAGGGTTGCGGACATCCTTGAGACATTTTCTTGGCCATCTGGGGGAGAAGGCTGTTAAGGAAGATCCCAGGTGTGAAAGCCCCCATGCAGGTCAGAGTCCACAGGTGCCCCGTGAGTGTCTGCAGAGTCTGGAGGGTCCAGAAATGCTGACTCTGGCTGGGCACCCAGCCCAGGCACCTTAGAACACTGCACATTGTCGGGGCACAGTGCAAAGGTGCTCAACACAGCTTTGTTAAGAGTAAAATACAGCCTTTTTCCACATCTTTCCATCCATCTCTGATTAATCATGGCACTGGACTGGAGACCGTTGGCCTGAGTCATCTGCCCAGCCAATGGAAGAAGGTATCCTGCCACCTCCCAGATCCCTCTCTGACTATCCTCCCTCCCACCTCCCAACACCCTCCACTAGCTGTGACTCTACTTTGGAAGGGGCTTCAGAGACACCCTGCCACGGCCAGCACTTTCACATGCACGCCTCTTTTTCTCCTTACTCCTATGTTGGAAAGTGGTTATCTGGAGTCCCTGGGCCCTGAGTGAGTCACTGAGCAGGTCACTAGGAGTTGGGCATGTGCTTCAGAGACAAAGGGGCAGAATATTTGGAAATAAGACCCAAGAAGCCAAGGTGAAGTTTCTATCCCCATTTTTTTTTTTTTGAGACAGAGTTTCCCTATGTCACCCTCGGTAGAGTGCTGTGGCGTCATAGCTCACAACAACCTCCAACTCTTGGGCTTAAGTAATTCTCTTGCCTCAGCCTCCCAAATAGATGGGACTATAGGCACCTGCCACAATGCTCAGCTATTTTTTAGTTGCAGTTGTCATTGCCATTGTAGCTGGTCTGGGCTGGATGAGAACCTGCCAGCCTTGTTGTATGTGGCTGGCACCTGTGCTATGGGCTCCTAGCCTGTATCCACATTTTGCAAATGAAACATTGAGCTTCAAAAAGATGAAGTCATTTGTCCAGGGTTACATCTGATTAGTGGCAGGGTCACAACAGCTCAGGGCTTTGCCCCTAGAGTGAGGCTATGACTGGTCATCACAAAACAGGGTTGGGGCCATATCTCCACAGAGGCAGGTCCATGGCCACTGCCCACCTCTCCCACTCATTGAGAACTCCCCACTCCACTTCCAGCCCTCAAGATGAATGCCAAAGTCTGAGAGCAAGGCGCCTGGTACCTCCCATTGTGATCTCCTTTCCTTGGCTGGACACACCGGGAAACCTCAGCAGAGACAGTGATCACAGCCCTAAGCACTTTCACCTGCTTTCCTGACTAGGCCCTCACAGACTCAAAGAATCATTCAAGACCAGGACTCAGGTCTCCCAGTTCCCACCTCCTGCCTCATTTAATCCTCACAATGCTCATGACATGGACACTATTCTTAGTTCCACTTCACAGATGAAATACAGAGCTTAATAAGTGCTATGTAAGTGTTAACTATGATTCACCAAGATATCTGAAGGAACTGCTCTGCTCCCTTGCATTCACTCATTCCTGGGAACAAGTTGGGCCCTAAAACAATAAAGTCCCTGGGCAGTCTCTCCCCAGGCCACACAGTCACAGATGAGAAGACCAGCCCAGTTCCTGACCCAGACAGTGTTAACTCTTCCCATTAGAAGGCTGGCCTGGCACCTTAGTCCCCTGCCTCCGGTCCCTTGGCTCATAGTGTCTCCCTGGCAGTAATAAGGCCAGGATACAAGCACTGAGCTGGCAGGTCAGGAACCTGGGCTTCAGACCTGACTCTGCCCTCAGCGCATTAAGGGGGTTGGACTGGGGTAAAGTGTTCTTAATATACTGTCCCCAGGGGCTTTGGAAGGGGTCCAAGAACCCTCTAAAGCAGAATGCAAAGTCTGGTGTTAATTAACAGAAATGAATTTTTCTGGGGATGACTTTCACCAGTTCCTCCAAGGTCTCTGTAAATCAAGAAAAGTTACGGACCCCAAGACTGGGTAATTTTAAAGGCCCCTTCCCTCCCTAGTTTTCTTGGGCTATATACATGTGAACAGAAACCCCACTCCCCATCCTTCAAGGCCAACTCAGCTGCCGCTCCAGGGAGCTCTGGCAGATTTCTTGCTTCTTTGCACAGAAAGGCTGGGGACCCAATGCACAGAGCCTTACAGGGTCTCTCTGTCTTCATCTCCCTCACTCTTCACCAGCCCACCAGCTCCCAGAAGGGGGTAGGCCCAGCCCAAGGCTAAGATCACAGAAGATGCCAGGATACCCCACAGTCATCCTAGTATGGTCCCCTCACCCCGGCCTCTGCCCTCTGGATGGCAGGGGACAGTGCTGCAGACCACAGGTGCACCAGGGTCTTAAGTCCTCCTTCCCCTACTTCAGCCCTGGAACCTCCCTGAACCATGTTCCTGCAAGGAAGCTGGTTTTCATTAAATCCGGTAAAGGAGTCATTAACTGCCAAGTCAAGAAGCAAAGTTCTGCTAAAAGGCACAGGGAGGGTGAGGGAGTCCAGCCTGTCCCTTGCCTTCCTTGGCTGACCGATTGACCAATGGTGGGGGGGGTGAGAGGGGGAGGTGGTACTCCTAAGGGTCCAGCAACCACAGCAGTAGGAACCAGGGCTGGAGAGTGGGGGGAGTCTCAGCCCAGATAATAAGCAATTGTTAATGTGATCCATATGGATCCTGACTGGCCCCTCTGTTTAACAGGATGATAATGGTAGGGAAAGAATGCCGGTCTGAGGGGAAGGGAAGGGGCAAAGTCCTACCTAGACTTAGGGGACTGGAGTGGGTCACTAGGGAGAAGGAAGAAGAGGAGGGAGAGATCCACCCAGGGGTCTTCACCACTCAAGAGCACAGAGATGTAATATGTGCCTCAAAGTGGCCAGATTCCATGCTTTGCAGACTGCCTGGTTAAAAGCCCTTACAAAAAACCCTTTTTATTCAACGAATTAAAACTTATGAGGCACCCACAAGGTGCCAAGCCCAGTGGGGGCAGGGGGCAGGGAAGTAACCGCTCTACCTCTGTCCTCCAGGAGGCACAGCCTAGGGTAGCCCCCACCACAAAGGCTGAAGGGAGGCACAGGTGCAGGACAAGACAGCCATGAAGGGAGGAGCAAGTGACAAGAGGGCTTGGGGAGGCTGCAGTAGGAAGTGTGGCATCCGAGTCAGGCCTAGAAGAATGAGGAGGTTGTGGAAAGACAGGGACAATGGGGAAGGCATTTGGCTGAGGGAACAGCAGGAGCAAAGGCAGAGAGGCGTGAAATTGCGTGGAGGGAGTCTGAGATCTCAGCAATAAAGCTGCAGCCCAGGCAGGGAAGGGGAGGGGACTCTTGATCCATAAAAAGCTGTGGCTATGGATGACCAGGAGAAAGGAAAAAGCTCTGGAACATCACATTGGAATCTGGGTCCCTATCCCTAGCCTTCCTCCACGCTGTATACTGGAATTGTCCAGTTACGTGATCCTCAGCCCAGCCCACGGCCACACCACGGCCAGAGAATCTGGCAGCGCTTCGGAAATTAAACTCATTCCTGTGTCTCTCACCCTCCTCTTCAGAGGATGTGAGGGAATATCCACAAGAATGTGGAGTATAATCAGGAGCAACTTCATCGCACCATACAGCTGAATTCCCTTTGGTGTAAGAGGCTTCGCCCAGAAGGTATCACAGCCAGGACATGAGGTTCGCTCCTGTCTGCTGCGGACACCAACGGAATCAAGTGGAAATAAATGAAATGGTGTTAAATATGAGAAAGGGGGATTTATGAGGCCAGTCACCCGGTCCAGCCCAGCCGTCCCAGAAAGCCCCGCCCCTTTCCTCGCCCACCCCAGGAAGTCCCGCCCCGCCCCCTGTCCCACTGCGTTTGCTGCAGCCTGGGACCCGCTTCGGGCCGCTGAGTCGCCGGGCACTGCAGCACCGAACTGCACGGCGCGTCCGTCCATGGGGGGATAGGCACAGGAGACAAGAGCGTCTGCCGCCGTACTGGGAGCTCGGGGAGGGGGCCGTTTGCAGCAGGAGGCTCTAGGGGTTCGGACTAGGTTCTGCGAAGGTCTGGTACTTTTGCAGTGTCAAAGGACTTTGGACCACGGCATCTTCAGACGCACTCCAAAGCCCTGGCAGCTCCATACGTAAGGCTTCAGGCCGGGGGAACCCAGAACCAACCTCCCTCTCACGCCACAAGCCTAGAGTAGGGTTTGAGCCGGGTCGGCAACAGCAGCCCGTGCGGAGGACAACACAAACATTCTTCCGTCCTCTATTCTCCTCCAAATTAGGTATCCATGGAGACAAAGCCGGCAGCCTGACAGCCCTACGGCCTAATCCTGATTTAGTGACCGTCCCTTTAACAGCCCACCCACCCGTCCACCCACCCCAGCGCTCCGGGCCGCTGCCGGGCGCAGGCTCCAGGCCGCTCTCGCACTCCCCCGCGCAGACCCCTTCCCAGGCCCCATATCCCGGGAGGGGTACGAGGACCAGAGGGGCCAGGGAAAGGGACTAGTACATGCTGAGCACCTACTGTGTGCGCGACACTGTGAAGGACCCTTAAGAGGGGGCTCCTAGCATGGGAATCTTCTGTATACCCGGAGAGGGCCCTTGTAGTGGAGAAGTTTAACGGGTTCTCTCTAGGGAGCTGGGGGGTGGTGGGAGCTCCCTTGTAGCCTGTAGTGCAAGGGTGAAGGTAAGTGCAGCTTCTACCAACACACTGACTCTGAGATGAGGTCTCTGCTCTCCCAGGACAGAAAAGAAGAAATGAGTGGGTGGGCATTAGGGACGCAGGGACCCGTAGTAGCCTCAGTCTCCTGTCACTGCCCCGTCACGATGCTGGGGAATCTCCAGGCCAGTAACCCAGCCCCCACACCCCTCCCACACACAGGGGCCGCTGGACAAAGACCTGACGGAGTGGGAGGGGCCTGCGGGCCGGCCCTCGGGCTGGATCCTTTTGGGACCCGAACCCGCAAATCCTGCCTCCCCACCCCCCAATCCTGCAGATTCCCCTCAGAGCCAGTTGCTAGCTATTGCTGCAGCCTCCGCACCAGAGAGGAAGACGAAGAGGGTGCCCGTCTGCGGCCAAGGGACGATTCCCTACTCTGCCGCCCCTTCCCCCCGGGAAGTGACCCTGGGCTCGCACGCACCAGCTCGGGTCTCTCGCCTGCCTTGCCCTCCGACCCCCGTCTAGATGAACCCCAGTGCCTGCAGCCGCCGCCCTCTCCGGCCCTCGAATGTCCCCGCGCCCGCGGACAAAGCTCCGGACACCCCGACAGAACGGTTACCACCCCCTGACCCCGGCCCTCCCGCGCGCTCCCGCGACTGCCCCCGCCCCAGCCCGCGGCCCCGTACCTCGGCATCCCGGCCGGGTCCTAGGTGAGTGTGCGCGGCCTGGGAGGGCGTCCGGCCCAGGGACCGGGGCGGGGGCGTGGGCCGGGGGCGACAGGCCGGGGTTGGGGGGCAGCGGCGCTGACCATCCTGGAGCCGCTGCTGCTGCGGCTGCTGCGGCCGCTGCGGCCGGGAGCGGGACTGGGCAGTGGGGGTGGCCGGACAAGGGGCGGCCCTGGCTCCCCCCGCAGGCAGGACCCCCACCCTCGCCTCCCCTTGCCCGCCCCCAGAGCCCTCCCTCGCAGGCCCTCGCTCCCCTCCCCTTCCCTGCTCCTCCCCTCCCCTGGAACCCCTCCCTTCCCCCAACTCCCGCCCCTTCTTCGGCCATCTCCACCCCTGGCTTCTTCCCCGCCCTCCCCCACCTCGCCCCCGCCCCGCCCCCACGTCCCCTGGGTTTGCCCAGCCCCTCTCACAATTCTCCCGGCTGGTCCCGCCCCTCTCCCTCCCCTAGCTCTAAAATAAATTAGCCACTGAGTGGGGAAAAAGAGCAAATGACCCTTGGTGTGGAGAGTGTCCTTGCGCCACCCTCAGGCCCGCCCGCTCCCGCCTCTACTCGGCCGCCGGAGCTGGAAGTTGAGGTGGAGGCCGGACAGTAGGAGTCGGGGGCGACCCCGGGACGCGTGGGGCCGGGGGCGGTGCGGAGAGAGGCCGGGATCCAGCAACCCAGCGCTCGGAGCGTGTCCGTTGGGTGTGAGCGGCTTCCTGGGTCGAAGGGCAAAGGGGAAGGCAGCCGGCCCGGGCCCGCCCCGTCCGCTAGTGGTCCAAGTCCCCTCTCCCAGGACTGTCTCGGCCCCTCGGCCACAGCCTTGTTGACTCTGGCTTACTTCCTCTACCCCAGGTGAGCTGAGCCCCTACTGCGTGCAGGACTCTGTGCCAGCCAGTTCTGGATGAAGAGGGGCAGGACCACGGCTGGGCAAGTCCATTGCTCGGCACTGATACCACTCCGAGTGCGGGGGGGTGTGGGGACGAAGGCACTGGATTGCGGGGTGTGCATTCTAAACAGCAGGCTTCACCCAAGAAGGCGGCATTCACACTGGGCTGAGCAGGATTCATGAAAGGCTGGAGGTAAATATGGAGAATGAGTCCCAAGCTCTAGTCTCGAAGAGGTGTCCGAAGGCATCCGTTCATTGCTGCGTTCATTCAACAGATACATAGTAAGAGTGAACTGTGTATCAAGCTAGGCATCAGGGATACCCAAGAAAGTCCAAAGGCACGCGTTGCCCTACTGGAGCCAGAGAATAGTAGACAGAACTCTGCCAGACTAACACTCAGAGCTCTAGCGCAGGTAACAGGAAGCCACTGACCCTGGGAGGCAGTAGCAAGAGTGGCTGTGCTTCTGGTCAAGGGTCCAAAGTAGCTTCCCAGAGATGAGCATTGAGTGTCCCAAGGTCATCAGTGTTTCCACCCAAGGGCATACCTAAGGCTCCTCTGTTCTGAGGAGTTTTTTCCTTTTGGGTGGCTGCTCAGCCTGAGTGTCAATAGGGCAAGATTGGCCCTGTGACCATTATCCTCCCAGCCTGGACAGCAGGGCTCTGTCCTCTGCATTTTTCAGAATTCTAAACACTACCCTTCCCTTCTCCTAAGGAGTCAGTCCTCTGGAGGGTCTGGGATGGGACAAGCCTGGGGCATCCCTGTAGATAGCTCCCATTTCTTTCCCACTCTCTATATGGAAGCAAGACCAACATCCAGGTGGGGGGGGTGGCTCACACCTGTAATCCTAGCACTCTAGAGGCCAAGGCAAGAGGACCACTTGAGCTCAGGAGTTTGAGACCAGCCTGAGCAACATAGTGAGACCCTATCTCTACTAAAAATAGAAAAACATTGTGGTGGCACCTGTAGTCCCAGCTACTTAGGAGAAGCAGGAGGATCACCCGAGCCCAGGAATTTGAGGTTGCTGTGAGCCAGCCTGAAGCCATGGCAATCTGGCTTGGGCACCACAGTGAGATTCTGTCTCCAAAAGAAAAAAAAAAAAAAAAAGACCAGCATCCAAGCAGGTTCTAAAACTCACAAAGATGAAGGTCTTTTCTACTCCCAGAATTCTCTCTACACCACACCCCAAAGCCATACCTTGGCACAAAGGACAGATGTGCCAAGGCTCAGAGTGCTAGGGCAGCCCCTGGCTATAGAATCAGAAAGGCAGGATGAAGGGACTCATAGCCCTCATCCCAGGACAGCTAACCTCTTGCTGGAGGGACAGTCACAGGATAACAGAGCTGGAAGGAACTCCTTGAATATTTCTTTACTGATGGAGCATCTGAGGCTCAGAGAGAAGTGACCTGCCTGGGACCACACAGCAAAGTCAGATCTAGAATCCACTCATTCTTTCCACTCCGACCCGTCAGTCTTCCCAAGGGCCAAAGACAGTAGTTAAGGGAGGAACAGATGTCCACATGAGCTGAGCAACCTCAGCCAGCAGAATTAGTTCCAGGAGGCCAAGCCTGGCATTGCTGCTAGATGTTCCTGGGGACCATACTCTACCAGGCTTCTGAGTGGGAGTGGGTGACAAGAGTCGGGCTGGACTGAGGGGCCCAGCTTGAAGGAAGGAATTGACTATGTACTCCCTTGGAGCTGGGATTCAGGAGCCCAGGAGTAAAGGACCTTCCTGTGCTGATAGGAAGGACAAGGTATACCTAAGGAAGGCCTTGCTAGTAAGCTAGTTGAGTGGGTCAGCATGCTGGAGAAGGCCTTTGCTGGACTCTGTGAGGTAAAGTCAGCATTTTAGCAGTACTGAATTGTTTCTGATGGGCAAACTGCAGTGGGTCACATTAAGGGAGGGAGAGTTTGATCACTTCTTCCCTCTACCTCCCATCCTGCACCAGTGCTCAGGCAATGAAGTGTGGCTCCCCCTCCCTGAGCTCATTAAAGTCCTGTTAATACATCATCTCCCCTCCTGGGCTGACAAATACTCAATCCTGGCAAATGGCCCTTCATCATATCTCTACCTCCTGCCCTCCTGGGTGGGGCCCTGGAGGTCTGATCTCTGAGGACTCTGGGCTGACCCTTCTGGCTGTCTCAGTCAAGAGACCTGTCCTGCCGTGAGGGCCTCCTGCTGAGGTCGTTGTGATCATCCCTAGGCAGGTCAAGTGCCCAGCAATGGATTGGATAATAATAGCTGTAATGATGGCGGTAATGCCTGGCTTCTTCAGAGGGCCCTCCTTTCTTTCCCAGCCCCTTTCCTTGTATCACATGTAAGGTGGGAATCCCCAGAGAAGGTGGGAGGTGTCTTGGGTGTGCAACTGGGTTCAGCACCTGCTATGGGTATATGAGTGTGTGTGTGTGTGTGTGTGTGTACGGGGGTGTATGTTGGGGTGTCCAGATACTTGAAACAAGGGCTTTCTGAAAACATTAAGAAAAATTACTCCGCTGGCCTAAGGAGAATCACCATTAAAGGTTTTGGTGATTGGGAGAAAGGAAAGTTAAGAGGAGGACATGGAAGCCAGAGAGGGAGGAGGAGGTGGGGTGAAAAGGAAGGAAAGAAAAGGGCCCCTGGGAAGGGGATGGGGTAGAGGGGAGGAAGGGAGAAAGAAATGGAAGAGAGGAAGAGGAAAGGGTGGGGAGGTCTCTCTTTGTGGACCTCTGATCAGCCACTCAGGAGTCATTATGAGCAAGAAAGGAAGGAAGTGTGTCTGGGCTAGGGGATTGGGGTGTGTGCCCAGAGGACACCACACCCAGCTGGCTGCTACCTTGCTTGGACTGGTCTCCTGAGAAATGAAGGCCTAGCCCTTCTTTTTCTGGCTGATTGGCCTGCAAGGCCCAGTTCCCAATGCCTCATCAGTCCTGCTGAAATCTCCACCAGCTTACTGTTTATGAATTCATACCAGCTTTGCCTTTCCACTGAGCTACAGCTCTGCCTGGGTCTGATCCCTACTCCACATGCTTTTTAGGGTCCCTCTAGAGGAATAAGAAAAAGTTCTGCCTCCTCTGGGCAGATCCAGCTCAGCCCCACTATATAAGACTTGAGAGGATGAACTGGAGCTGACTGCCAACCCCCCTCCCCTAAAGCTCAGCACTTGGTGACCCTAATATCCCACTTCCAAAATCCCCACTCCACACCTGACCCTAAGGTGTGAGACCCTGTTTATATGTTCATAAACAGTAAGCTGGTGGAGGTTTCAGCAGGACTGATGAGGCATTGGGAACTGGGCCTTGCAGGCCAATCAGCCAGAAAAAGAAGGGCTAGGCCTTCCACTTCTCAGGAAGTTGTTTGGTCTGTAAGCAGAAATACATCCTACCCCCCCCACCCCTGTTGTATAAAACAGCCTTTAGACTAACCCCAAATTAATCCCACCATATACTTTATAGATCCATAGAACCTCTCACTAAACATCCACACCACTCTAATACCTCTGAGTCTCTCTGCCTGGAATCTTATGTCCCTACTTTGCCTGGTAAGCTATTCATTCTTCACACCCAACTGAAGTGTGCCCTTCTCTGTAAAGCCTTCCCTAGCTGTCCCTCACCCCAGAAGAGCTAGAGCTCCACCAAAGAGCTTTTCAAATCTTTTTTTTCCCCCTAGGTTCCTGGATTGAGCCCTGAACACTGCTTCTTAGAGCCCATCCTATCCTTTCCTAAGGCAGATGACTCCCCCTCATGGTGCATGACCCGCTCTTTAATATGCAAGCCCATCTGGAACTCCACTGGGCTTCTTCCCTCCTTAAAACTTACAGACCCAGGGCAGAATGGGAATTGGAAATCCAAGTGGCCCAGAGATCTCCCCACCCCCACTCTGCCTTCACTGGAGACTGACAGGAGATTCCCAGCACATCTGGTTGTACTTAAATTACCCAGGACCAGACTACCAAGGCAGGTTCCCCCACTTCTCTCCTTTAGCCCCTCTCTCCTCCCCTTTCTGAACCAGCCTTCCAGGTCTCTCCTCCAGGATGCCTTCCCTAACTGGCCTGACTTCTGGAACCACAGCTCCCCCTTGAACCTCCACTTCTTTGAGTGGGGGGACTGTGAGGCTGTGGAAGGGTGCATGCTCAGCAAGACTCAGTGTGTGGAATCTCATCCTTCTCAGGCATTGGTCTTGGACAGAAACCCTCCCTTCAGGTAGGGAAGGGAACTGACCAAGGGCCTCCTCTCCACTCCCTCGACCTCAAGAGTGGCTTCCTCCAACTACTGATGTGTGTAGTAGGGAGGGAACCAATCCTGGCCCCTTTCATACTTTGATTAAGGTTTAGTCAAAGCTGTTCTGGCGGCAACTCTTGCTGTCAGCCATTTTCCAAAAACTTTTTCAAAAAGAAAAAGAACAAAAGAGACACAAATGCAGAAAATATAGCAAGTATAAAAATACACAGGCTAGGTGTAGTGGCTCATTCTTATAATCCCAGTACTTCAGGAGGCCAGTTGGGAGTTTGGGACTAACCTGGGTGACACAGCTACACCCAGTCTCTACAAAAAAATTTAAAAATTAGCCAGGTGTGGTGGTATGCACCTGTAATCCCACTACTTTGGAGGATGAGGTGGGAGGATTGCTTGAGCCCAGGAGATGGAGGCTGCAGTGAGGTATGATAGGTCAGTGCACACCAGCCTGGGCAACAGAAGGAGACCCTTGTCTCTTTTTTTTTTTCCTGAGACAGAGCCTCTATCTGTCGCCCTGGGTAGAGTGCGGTAGCATCACAGCAACCTCCACCTCCTGGGCTCAAGCTGTTCTCCTGCCTCCACTTCCCAGGTAGCTGGGACTACAGGTGCCTGCCACAACGCCTGGCTATTTTTTGGTTGCAGCCGTCATTGTTGGTGGGCCAGGCTGGATTTGAACCCGCCAGCTCAGGTGTATGTGGCTGGCACCTTAGCCACTTGAGCCACAGGCACCAAGCCAAGACCCTTGTTTCTTAAACAAAAACACAAATGAAAACAGGCTACAAAGAACAAGTTTGTGGATCTGCCATATCCGGCTCTTCCAGAGTTCCAGGTCCAAATGTTCATTCATTCTTTCATTCAACAGCACATTCTGATCCCTAGGTCTACTAGACTTGAATAAGACTCCTGTGCTTCCTAAAGAAATTCAGGGTCAGTGGGGGAGAGAGACAAGCAAATGCTAGATGTGGTAGACACGAAAGGGGAGGTACTGGGACACACTGGTTGAAGATCAGAAACCTTGGGCTAAATCCCAGCTCCATCACTTTTCTGCACTGCCCCTGGAGGAGCCACTTAACCTCCAGGAGTTTGTCTCTTCACCTGGAGAAAGGTGATGATGTGACCTCACAGGATCATGACGGGATTTGGATAAGACAATGTGTGTAGAAGCACTTTAAAAAATGCTAAGTGAGTTATTGCTAGTATTTTTAAGCTCATTTTTCTGATGCCTCAACAGCTGTCTCTGCCTACCCTCCCAGAGAAGGAGACATGTTGGAGACAAACTGCTGTCAGTGTGAAGAACAGCCAGCTCAGAGCAGCAGGTGGATAGAGTTATGCAAGTAAAATACCTTTTACAAAAATTAGAAAATATAGATAAGCACAAAACAAAAAAATTAAAAATCAAGCATCTTCTTAATGCCACCTCCTAGAGACAACTACTGATAACATTTGGGGGTCATCTAAATATTAGTCTATGTTTTCACCATACATAGAAAAAACGGGAAATTGTTGCTAAGTGTACAGACTATTCATTACAAAATTTTACAAAACCTTTTTTATGTGTTGGCCACCTCTTTCTACACACACACACTCTCTCTCTCTCTTTCTCTGAATCTCCTCTCCCTCTCAAGGGGGACACATTTCAAGACACCAGAGTCAGGCAAGTTTGTTAATTTTCCTAGTATGTGTGGAGACTTTTGGGATATGCTGTATTATTGGGGGGGGGACTTCACCCTGTTTTGTAATCTGCTTTGCTCAATAGACAAATATTTTGAACATATTTTCCTATGTAGAATAGATTTATACCACAAAATTGTTAATGACAGCTTAATATTCCATCATTTGGACGTGCAAGATTTAATTTAACAAGTTTCCAGAAATAAAATCTTGAGGAACAGACTTGTAACATCCATCTTTGTGCTTGCATCTAATTATTGCCTTAGGATAAAGTCCTAGTAACCAAGGGCAGGAATGCAGACTGTTAGCTTTGAGGAGCCCTCGCCCGAGCCTCTGGGTGGTGCTCTCACATCTCCTCCAGGCAGCCCTCCCAGACTGACCTTCCCGGGTGGGTCCCCCCGCCCACGCCGCTCCAAGTTGTAGCTTCATCTCTCAGAGACCTACCCTGAAAAGTGCTCAGAAGGCCCGGCTGGTGAAGGCCAGGAGGGGACGGGGGTGGAGAGCACAAAGCAGGCTTGTCTGGGCACAGGAAGAGGCCCCGCCCTCGGCGCTGCCGGCCGAACATTCCTCCCGGACAATGGCCGCCTCGGGAATCCGGAGAATGAAGGAGGCCAGGCAGCTTCGCGAATCTACTCCTCTCCCCTCCCACACCCCCCATCAAGTTGTGCCCTTTCCCAAAATGGAAAGTAGGGGCACTCTGCACTGGGGGCGGGGTGGGGAGAGCAGCTGCGATCCCTGCCTGCAGCCCCGCCCCCCTTGCCAAAAGTAATCCACATTGCGGCCTAGTCCCGCCCAACCGCCCTGTCCCTGTGGACCTTGGGCAAGTCCTGATCCCTCTTCAGGCTCTGCTTCCTCAACTGTAAAATCAGGGGCTTGGATCAGTGGTTGCCACATTCCCCCCAGATCTCAAATGCTGAAATATAGTGACTAAGACATGAGCAGCCTTTTGAGCCAGATTGCCCATTTCTCTCCAGTCTGCCCTTTACCCTGACAACTTAACCCCCTGGGCCCCAGCTTCCCCCTCTGTAAAGTGTGTTTGTTGATGGATACCCACCCCCCCCACTGTGGGAAGATGATGCCTACAAGACCAGTAGCTGACCGGTCAGTCTGTGAATCCTGGCCAGGCCTGGTGGATCTCGCCTGTAATCCTAGCACTTTGGGAGGCTGAGGCAGGAGGATGGCTTGAGTTCAGGAGTATGAGGTTGCTATGAGCTATGATGATGGCACTGCACACCAGCTTTTAGCCCAGGCCACAGAGAGTGAGACTCTGTCTCTAAAAAAAAAAAAGTCTATGAATCCTGATTCATGCTTAACTGCTCAAAATACTAAGTAGTTCCCCACCCCCAGTCACTTATCATGTCCTGGGTGAATTCTGGCTCCTGGGCACTTGCTCAGCAATTGGCCATACCCTTGGGAGCTAAGAGGAGCACCTGATACCCCCCAAGGAAACGTCTCTCCTCCTGCTTGTTTCCATATTCCCTTGCATTAGCCATAAACCATAAACTTTACAGGCTTTTGGAGGCAAATATAATTTTTTTTTTTTTTTTTGAGACAGAGCCTCAAGCTGTCCCCCTGGGTAGAGTGCCGTGGCATTACAGCTCACAGCAACCTCCAATTCCTGGGCTCAAGCGAGTCTCCTGCCTCCGCCTCCCAAGTAGCTGGGACTACAGGCGCCTGCCACAACGCCTGGCTATTTTTTGGTTGCAGCTGTCATTGTTGTTTTGGCAGGTCCGGGCTGGGGATTCGAACCCGCCACCTTAGGTGTACGTGGCTGGCGCCTTAGCCGGTTGAGCTATAGGCACCGAGCCGAGGCAAATATAATTTAAAAGTACAGGAAAACTCTTGTGTTTGGCCACACATCCTTAGTTTTGTCTGGGAAATACCAACATTTCCAATGCAGCCAGCAATTGCTAGGCGCCAGGTTCTTAACAATACATGGGAGGATCAGGATGAACACAAACAGTGAACAATTCCTGAATCTACATACATTTATAATATATATACATATTTATAATATATATTTTTATATATAATTTTATATATTATAAATATATATATACTTTTTTTTTTTTTGAGACAGAGTCTCACTCTGTTGCCCTGGGTAGTGTCATGGCATCATAGCTCACAGGAACCTTAAACTCTTGGGCTTAAGCGATCCTCCTGCCCTCTTTCCCAAGTAGCTGGTCTGTAGGCACTTGCCACGACACCCAGCTAGTTTTTCCTTTTTTAGTAGAGACAGTCTTACTCTTGCTCAAGCTGGCCTTGAACTCCTGAGCTCAGGTGATCCACTCTCCCCAGCCTCCCAGAGTGCTAGGATTATAGGCGTGAGCCCCTGAGCTCCGCCTCCTACAAAGATTTTTAAGTTATTTCCACACAACGCTACCAGCTCTCCCTATGCTCTCCTGCACTTGATCTCTCCTCCCTTTGCTGCTCACTTCCTCTTTCTCAACCCTCCTCCTGTATGCCCCTGAATTAAGACTCTTTGCTGGAAGGGCTAGAAAACACCCCTTAGCAACAGCTTGTATTATACAACAAGAAATAATAATTTGGTCCAATTTAGCTGCCACTGATGTTAAGAAGTATTGCTGTTTTATGGGTCATTAGAAAGAAAAACACGTTGCCAGTTAAACTGACAATGATTTCTTATCACTTAGAATTTTATTTTTTTGAGACAGTTTCACTTTTGTTGCCCTGATAAAGTTTCATGGCATCATAGCTCACAGCAACTTCAAACTACTGGGCTCAAGTGATTTTTTTGCCTCAGCCTTTTGAGTAGCTGGGACTACAGTTGCCTGCCACAACACCTGGCTATTTTTGTTTGTTTGTTTTTTAGAGACAGTCTCACTTTATTGCCCTTGGTAGAGTGCTGTGGTGTCACAGCTCACAGCAACCCCCAACTCCTGGGTTTAGGTGATTCTCTTGTCTCAGCTTCCCAAGTAGCTGGGACTATAGGTGCTTGCCACAACACTGGGCTATTTTTTGTTGCAGTTTGGCCGGGGCCGGGTTTGAACCCGCCACCCTTGGTATATGGGGCCGGCACCCTACTCATTGAGCCACAGGCGCTGCCCCAACACCTGGCTATTTTTTTAGAGATGGGATCTTGCTCTTGCTCAAGCTGGTCTTGAACTCCTGATCTCAAGCGATCCTCTTGCCTTGACCCCTCAAAGTGGCAATACATTTTTACCATAAGTTATTCTTATATATATGCAACAAAGAAAACCTGAGTGAAATAAATTGGTTAAAGTTTTTTTAAAAACCTTATCACATTCAGAGTCCAATTCTTGGAATTACTTTTCAACTCTGAGCTGTCAATGTCTGTTTTTTTTACACAGAATCATTACCATCTGGGCCAGCAAGAGTACTGGTGATATGGAATATTTCTTGAAAGAGTGCTCTACTGAACTAATTATCTATTGCTGCATAAAAAATTATCCCAAATCTTAGTAGCTTTAAGCACCCAGCATTTACCTATACTTCCTATGGTTCAAGAATCTGGGAGTGGGCTCAGCGCCTATAGCTCAGTGGCTAGGACACCAGCCACATATACCGGGGCTAGCAAGTTTGAACCTGGCGCCAGCCTGCCAAACAGCAACAACAACAACAAAAAGATGTAGTCCTAGCTACTTGGAAGGCTGAGGCAAGAGAATTGCTTAAGCCCAAGAGTTGGAGGTTGGTGTGAGCAGAGTAAGACTCTGTCTCAAAAAAAAAAAAAAAAAA